CAGTTGGTTAAAACACACTCAAGAGTGCGAGCTCTGAGCAACAGCAGTTTGATTCCGGGCCCAAGCTAAGCTGCCAACAGGTGGCAGGATGGCTCAGCTTAAAAAAAAAAAAAAAAGAAAGAATTTGGTGTCATCATGTTCTAGCAAAAGTAATTCCAGTTCTAGACAAAAATCATTAAATAATTTAGATTTCAACTGTTAAAAAGTTTTAATCTCTACATTAATACAGAAATACCATCTATAATCAAAACAACACATACTCCAAAATCCAGAGTTTATAAGATTTGCAGTCATAATTATCAGACATACTTAAGTATTTCTAAATAGTATAATGAATATATAAATAGTGTTTTTACCAGAAGGGACATGAGGAATTTATGAAGATAGACAATCTGGATACAGCCAACATTCAGTGATATCACACCATCCACCTTGGACATGTCAGTATAGAAATCCCCCTCAGTAGCATCAGGATACAAATCCAAGTTAAAACGGAAAACTTCATTTCCCATTATTGACACCACCTAAAAAGCAGAGATTTTAATGTATCCCACCCAAGAGAATAATAAAATAAATCCCATCTTAAAAGGGTTTATTTTATAATCATTATAAAAACAAACACTTTTCTATCAAAATATATTTCATTAATATTTTTTAAAATAACATCGCATATTCAGTCATCAAAATATATTAACTATTTACTATCACCTACCTTTTTATGAACTGTCTTAGGATCAACATCTGTGACAATAATATTTTCCAGTCTGGCAAATAGAGACTGTTTTCTTGACTGAAGAGAAAGGGAGGAATCGAGTCCTAAAAAAAAAAAATTATTATAATTTCTATAGACCTAACAAAGTAAGACCTTAAGATGTTTCTTTCCATTGCATAATTTTACTTTGGCGGTGATATTTTAATAAATTTAGCAATGTCTGAACTCCCAAATGATAAATAAGTTGTAGTATTAGGTATTTTTAGTTTATAAACAATGGAACCTGTAAATTCATTGAAAAATAATTACCTGAATTTTCAACCTTCTAAAAAACCTTCATCTAGTGCAAATGGATTATCTTGGGATTTTAGCAAATCCTTCACACCTTTTATCCAGTTATTTACATGGAAGCTATAAAAGTTTCATGAATTAAGTTCAGACTAGTAGATGCACTGCCAGTTTGGAAAGAACAAGACAAAAACCCTAGTATTCTGGTTCTTAAGTTCTTTAAGAATTTCATTAAACATATTCTTTACCTTAACCAAATCACATTAAGCTGGTAATGAGAGTCAGAGCAACAGCTAGATTAGTTATAGCAACTTTTAGCTAAAAGAACATAATGGGCTTACAAGTTCTAGTCTTCATTATCAGGCTGCTTTGCATTTGTACCAACATAAAGCATATTCACAGAACTTTACCTGAATTCTGAAATGACACTTAGCTTATCAATGGCATCCCTACATTGACATAAGTCATTCTTTTCACCTCCAAGACAACTATCAAAAAGGTGCAAAACACCAGTATGTGTAGTTCAATTTGATGGTCAGAGTCTGACGAATATCTACATCCCAAAGAGTTAGGAAAGCATGCAGTCCATTTATGTTGCAAAATAAAATTATCCAGTTTTCACAGTTCAGAATCCTCCATTTGTATATTTTTTGGCATTTAAACAAAAAAACTTCTCTTTTGAACAATTTTTAATACCGTAAGAACTTTTACCTTGAATCTTGATTTCAGCAATATTAGTCTTCTCTTCACAAACGTTGACACAAAAAGCATTCAATTTGGCAAACAGCCTGAAGTCAATAATGTCACTATCTTTAGAAGCTACAATCACTACAAATAAAACAAAGAATTTTATCACAGTAAAATCCTAGTAACTAAACTCTATTAAGGTTTCATCCCTATATTAAGTGAACCACAGTTTTGTTTCAAAAAACCACAGAATTCTCAAGTTCCTAATGATTTCAAATACTTTTTTTTTTGCTTTATATATTCTGTAGAGTTTGCATTTTTAATAGTGAAATGTGTTACTATTATAATTTAAAAGCAAGAAAAAAACTTAAATAATATTAAAAACATTGAAACTCAGAGAAGTTAAATAATGAGGCAATGGTCAACACAGTTTAAGTAGCACTCGGGATTTGAACTGAGTTATCTCTGATCCGAACTGTGGGCTCCTGACGAGTTAGATGTGATCTCTGCCCTCCTGCCCTCCTGGCTCTGTAGAACGGAAGGGAAGGCTAACCCTCCATGGAGCCCCTTCAGGAGCAACTAAGAGGGGAAGTAGAGTCCAGTGTAAATATAGGTGTTTTTCCCCATTACTCACCTAAAGGCATCCCCTACCACCACCAAAATAAGAACAAAACCAGACATTTTTAAAAACAAAAGTAATGATTACATTTGCCTTACATATTAGGCACCTGTGTATTAATTTGGTTTGAAGAGAAGGGCAGAAATGAGGAAAACGGCATGTACATAACTGAACTAGATAGATGGTCTCTAAGATTGCCCACTTAGCTCTAGAATTCTAAAAACCCTTACTAACAAGAACAAAAAATAAACAAACAAACAAACAAAAAAAAACCTATTTTTCAAACCTTTCTGCACAGCTGAATTTTTTTGTTGCTTTTCAGTCAAAATTTGTACTTCCTTGGTATCACCCATCTTTTGGTCATCTGATGGAATAATGGCTATCAGGTAATTAATAGAAGAGAGAAGAGCTTGTGTTTGCAGCAACAGATTTAAAGATGAAAAAGCCACCTAGAAATGTTTTAAAAAGAAAATTAGTTTCCCAGGCCAATTAGCCGATCAGCTTCACATGGGCCCAAAACGCTCCTAGCTAGGCTTGCTTCACCGCCTTCTACTACTTGGAGGAAAGAGCTAAGAGCAGAAGATTCACAACCCATACTCCTTAAGTAGAGATATATGAAAATAAATTACACTTACACACTTCAGGAGTTCATTTGATTACCTTAGTAACCTTAATTACTCCATTTCCCAAGCATAATTATTATGGAGCTTATAATCTGCTTGTGAAAGGTATCCCAATATTCAACATATATATACATGGTTTCTGTATCTGCAAATGACTATTTATTATGATTATATAAAACATATAAGTTAGATATGAAACTCCAGAATCACTATGTGTTATTACTATGTCAAGATATGATTTCAAATGGGACATTCATAAGATTTCAATACAAAAAGTCCAATTATGAGTGAATTCTCAGTCACTAAATGATCTTATGAAACCACAATAATTATCCTATCATTTAAAAAGAATACAGAATTTATAGAAAAAAGTATTACATTTTTTTAAACGATTCTAGGAAGCTAAGACAGCAACACAAATTGCTTTCAAGAATATATGGTTTTCTAATAGCAAATTAATTTTTTTTAAATCCTTGTTTATAAAAAAAATATATTTTCATTGCTTCAAAACAAAAAAGGAATATAAAAAGGAAGTTCCACAATATTCAAGAGATTCTCGTGTCTCTCAAAAGTGTAATCTAGGGACTGGCCGAGTGGCTCAGTTGGTTAAGAGTTGGCTTAAGAGCGCGAGCTCTGAGCAGCAGGGCCCGGATTCGGATTCCACATGGGCCAGTGACACTGTGCCCGAGCTGAGCTGTTGCTGAGCTGCCAACAGGTAGCAGGATGGCTCAGCTGGTGTAACAACAAGATTGCCTGTTCGATGGTGGGCTATGCCCTCCCGCAACTAAGACTGAACTTGGCACCTTGAGCTGAGCTGCCTCCCGGATGGCTCAGTGGATAGAGTGTGCGTTCTTTACAAGGCTGCTGGTTCGACTCCCACATGGGATGGTGGCTATGCCCACCCGCAACTAACATTGTACATGGCACCTTGAGCTTAGAGGCCACAAGCTGCCGATGGGCAGCCAGATGGCGACTGGCGCCCTCCACAACGAAGATTGGAGTACAACTTGGCTGGTCCCCTCCCCCAATTCCCCAATAAAATCTTTAAAAAAAGTGTAATCTAAAACTCATTTCTCTCATGTTTTTTTTTTTTTTTTTTAGCTGAGCCATCCTGCTACCTGTTGGCAGCTCAGCGGCTGCTCAGCTCGGGCTGGACTCGAACCGCTGTTGCTCAGAGCTCAAACTCTTGAGTGAGCTCTTAACCAACTGAGCCACTCGGCCGGCCCCTTCTCATGTTCTTTTTAATGTAACCCACAACTATATATTCCCTCTTCTTCCTCTACAGAACTACCTTAGTATGGCTCCAAAAGTACTCAACATCTTTCTTGTATTTCATATACTTTCTCTGCCCTGCATTAAACAATAGTATCCAGCTTGGTGTGTTCAGAACTGTGTTCTTTATAAATCAAAGTTCTCTCATCTTATAGCATTCCCTTCTTTAGAAATAATTAGGATGTGATACAATAAGTCAAAACAAAGGCTTTACTATGCTGAATCCTGAGCACAGAGCATGGTAGGTATCTATGCGTTTAATTTATAACTTTTATTGATTCTTGATTATTTCATCAAATTACCCAGTCAATATCCCTCCCTTAAAGGACACTGGAGACTTCCAAAGTAGGTTATTTTCAAATAGGATACCTGTATATTCTTTTAGAATTTCTTACCTTAACTGTTTGTTCAGTTTTTTCAAAAGTAGTTTGAAAACTGGGCCCATTCTTATCAGCCTAAAAAAAAGAAACAAAAGTTCTAAAGAAGGAATTAAGACCAAAGTAAATAAATCATTTATGATCTCTAGTTAATTTATTCATATTGTTACAACTGTATTTTTATATACATTATACATTTAATATTATTGTCATCATTTTAAAGTTACATCCAAATAATTTATTTATTATAATAGTGCATTTTGTCCTCCTCCTCAAACACAGGAGAGCCTGGCAACATTCACTTCTGGAAAACGCAGCTAGGGAACAGAATTATAAACTCTGAAGGTTGAAAGGTTTAAAGGTCATCTAGCCTATCTATGACCTTATGCTTGAATCCATTTATAAAGTCTTTGGCAAATCTATTTTATGGTATCTCCAGGGAAAGAAACCTCATGTTCTTACAAATCCAATCTTTAGAAAACTTTGATTTTATGAGGTCTTTATACAATCAAAAATCTATCTTCCATCATAATTACTGGTCAAGTTCTGCCCCTTGGGAATATACATATTAATATACATTCAAAGTTTTACCTTATGTGAGAAGCCTTCTAGCTAGACCAGTTTCCCTGCCTCCCTGCTCCCATACTACTTTATGCTCTTCTTTATTAGGGAATCAATCACGTTATATTTTCAATTGTTGTTTTCCTATCTCCCTGCTACTCTATAACTTCCTTGAGAATAGGGAAATATTTCATCTCTGTATCCTAAGTACCTAAAAGAACCTGATACATAAACACATTCAATAAGTAGTTGTTGAATGATTAAACAAATCAACTAATCTTAAAAGAAGCTAAACACCATCAGTTCTTTCAGCATTCCTCATATGATATATTTTTGAGTCCCTTCTCAATCCTGGCAGTTCTCTACTGAACCCAACCCAATTTATCCCTTTTGATATAGGATACTCTGCTAAATGTCACCTACACATACAATGAATGTAGGTAAGTGAATATGTCCCAGAAGTTAGGAGTAGGACCCACTTCATCCCCAGCTTCCATCTTTGGGGACAAGAAGTTTCTGTGGCTTTAAAAATCCTAGTATAACCCCATACGTAAGTGAAAAAGAAGGTGTATGAATGGAAAGAGAAACGGTAGATAGCCCTGTGATTAAAATCTACAATATAGAGTCTTTAGTGATCTACTGTCATATTTTTCCTTTCAGAAGATAATTTGGAGTATATAATAAATACATAAACATTCCATGGCCCTTACCTTAATATATTCCACTTTCAAAAGATCTAATCCAGGTTTGTCAGAAGAGCTAATCAAGTGAAGGGGCTTCTTTTTGGATCCTAGATTTTTTTTTAAAAAAAGGAAAAAAGTGTTTCAAACAAATTGCTCTTTTTTAAGTTTAGCATTTTCTAAATGTCTTTTTCTTTTTTAAAAATTTTGTTAATTAAGCTTTAAAAGACTCTCTGTACATGTTTTCATGGTTATTAGATGCTAAGGTCATCACTGGTGAAGAAATAACTCAATCCAAATCCTTACTCTATCTTTGTCATCCAACTTACTTAAAAACATGCATATTTATTTTGTTTGATTTTACATCTGTGTTAAAATATAATCAAAACGTCTCTAGATATTTTAAGGCCAACTATACATTTGTAAGGCAATAGAAAGACTACAAGTATAAGAATCAGTAAGTATGAATTCCCGTATTTAACTTCAGTTTTTCTCAGCTATATAACAAGGAGGTTGGACTAGAAAAAAACATAATATTCTGTGGAGCTCTAAAACTCTATGAATAAATATTTCATATTAAAAAATATAAAAATTTTTCTTTGTTTAGACTAAGAGAAGGAGTAATAGAAGAGGAAAGTTTTTTTTTAAGGGAATTGTTAAATTTCTTTTAATTTAATAACAACAGGTACTATTAGATGTCTTCTATATCCTTATGTAGATGTGCCAAAGAACTGCCTCAAGAAGCTGTGGATGGAGAAGTAATTTATCCACCATTTAATCCATTTTTTATTATTTGTAGTCCTATACCTATTGTTTCTGCGACAGCTCAGACTTTTCCCTTGAAATAATGCTCCCTAAAGGAAAAAATAGCCTAGCAAATTTATTATCTGCATTTTTTCCCTTTAGACAGTAATATAAACTCCATTTTACAGAAGCTTACTAAACATAAACATTTTTCTTCTCAACTAAGATATACTCTAGTTTTTTTTTTGTTTTTTTTTGTGGAGGGCAGTGTCACTGGCCCTCACATGTGGGATCCAAACCGGGGCCCTCTGGCATCCCAAGCCAGTTCTTAACCATCGCGCCATTCGGCTGGCCCTATTCTAGTTTTAACTATTCGAAAAAACAACAAAAAAATAGGTCTTTATATTTGATTAAAATATTGGGCAAATATTAGGTAATTTTAATTACTGTTGATTCACCCATTCCTTATATATCTCATGAACACACAAGATGTATACTAAAATAAACTATAAGCACTTCTGAAAGAATGAATTTTACGTCCCACCATTTTTATTTTTATAACTTGGTGCTGCCACTGATATATAAACACTATTCATTAAAAAGAACAAGTACTTCAATATTATAGCCCAGAAATAAATTCTAGATTTTGCCAATTCATAAGATGCATGAACTTAAGTAAGCCACTGAATCTCTTTATTTACCCTTTCTGTTTGTAAAATGAGAATACTCCTCCCTGTATAAAGTGTTTTATATGGACTCTCTGAGGTAGTATACCATAGTAGTTAACAATACAGACCCTATGGGAAGACTTCCAGGGTTCAGCCACTAACTAGCAGTATGACCTTGGATAAATTACATAAACAATTTTTCCCTTAGTTACCTCATATGTAAACTGGAGATAATAACATTGCCTTTCTCATAGGAGTGTTATAAGGATTAAATGGGTTATTATTTGAAAAGTGCTTAGCACAGTGCTAGCTATAATTTATTATAAGTATTATATAAATGAAAGTATTTCAGATATTCAAGTGGTATTATATTTATTACTGGCTATTGTTTCTGTTTTTCTGGCTGTTACCTTGAATTTCATGGTAATCCAAGCTGATTTTCCTTAGATAAGATACTGCAGTTAAATCAAATGGTCTCACTATAGCCTCTGTTCCTAACTGAGTAACATTAAATACTAGAATTGTATCTTCTTCTTTCTGTTGTTTGGTAAATTCCAGAATCACCTAAAATAATCAGGACAGCCAAAGAAAGGTTGATAATTAGTTTGAATCATACTTAATATAAACAAAATCCTTCTTCATACATATCATCATGAGAACCATAGAAATTCTGTTCACACTCATCTACTACCATAAAGTATTTACTATACTTTAAGATGATTGTAAATCATTTTAAATTCTATTATTGAGAATATAACTATATCTGTGTAAAAATTATGATGAAGCTTTATATCCATTACTGATTTACATTTTTTAATTTAGCAAAAACAGAATGTATGGATTCTTCTTAATATGATTTTCTTAAACCTGTATCTCAAAACAAAAATCACATGTGGTGATATGACACATTCCCATTAAAGTAAAAAGATGAGAATATTCATTATTATACTACTATTCAAATTTACTCTGGAAATGATAGTATACTTAGCAGATGAAAAATAAAACATATATGTAGCAATTTTTAAAACATGCAAGTTCTTTGATACTCTGTCAAGAGACGGAGGTCTTTGTCCCCTTTAAATGTGAGCAGGCTTATTATTGCTTCAATCAACAAGGTACAGAGGAAGTGATACATTATAATGACTTCCAATGTCAAAAAAGGCCATGAAACTTCCACCTGAGAATGCTCACTCTGAGGGAAGCTAGTTGCCATGTAAAAAAATTCAACTTCCCTGAGACTGACATGCTCGGGAGGCATTGAGTAGGTATTTCAATCAACAGTCTCAGCTGAGTTCCTAGCCAACAGCCAGAATCAACTGCCAGCCTCAAAGCTAAGCCACCTCTGAGCCTCTCTGACACTTCAGGTCATTGCAGTGTCCGTCAAATCTGACTATAAGCAAATGGAAGACTATACACAAAAATTACTAAGCTGGCCCCTTCCAGAATTCCTAACCCACAAAACTGTGAGCAAAATAAAATAGTTGTTTGAGCTACTATGTTTTGGGGTAACCTATGAGGCAGCAATAGTAACTGGAACAATATAAGTGCTGAAAGAAAGCAAAAATTAATATTATTAGCAGTGATGAAATTATATACTTAAGCAAAACAATGAGGAGTGGCAAATGAGAAACAGAAATGATAGTACATAAGATACTCAATACAGAACTGATATACAAAAATAAATTTCAGATATAGCAATGATTTAAATGAAAGTATTGAAATCATAAAATAACATAAAATCATAGGTAAATATTTTTTCAATGGAGAATAATTTTCTAAATATACACTAAAACTAGAGTATAAAAAAATTCGACAGATTTCACTACGGAAACATTTAAAACCAGAATGGCAAAAAATCAAATTGGGAAAAATATTTCAAACAGTATTACTACTTTTTTCTTAGAGGATTCTGATTATCACTTTAGTTCATTCATTCAATATCCAATAAGAGATTTACTGGCATCATCTACCACGTATGAGGCTGAGCCAGCCACTAAGGACATTGAAGTGACCAGGACAGACAAGGTCCTTATCTTCATGAAGCTTACATTCTAGGGAGAGCGGGGGGAAATGAAGGTTGCTATCTTGTGTTGGGTGGTCAGGCCTTTTCAATAAGATGGCATTTGAGTCAAATTTCTAAAGGAAGTAAAGAATCAAGTCATACAGGAAATAAGTGTTCCAGGCAAAAGAAACAGCAAGCACAAACAATGTGCTTTGGTATATATAAGAAAGAACAAAGGGCAAATAAATGTAAGCTCTGTGAGGCAAGGACTTTGCTCACTGCTGTAGCTCCAGTATCTAAAACAATGCCTGCAACATGCTGGCATTTGATAAATACTTACTGAAGGAATGAATGAAATATGGCTGGAGTAGAGTGAACAAGGCAGAAAAGTATTGAAGATGAAGCCAAAGAAGTCACATGGTGTGTGATGTGCAAGCCATGTGAGGCCTTGTAGGATGAGAAGGACTTAGCCCTTTGCTCTGAACAAGATGGGAAGCCAGTGGAGGGTTGCAAGCCTAGCAATGACATTATCTGACTTTTACTTGAAAAGGATCACTCTGGCTACTATGTGGAAAATAGAGTAACTGGTGGACACAGAAAGATAGTTAAGAGGCTACTGAAATAGTCCAAGCAAGGGGTGATGATTGGACAGAGAACAAAGTGATGGTTGCCAGATGTGAAGGAGATTGGGAGGCAGGGTGAACAAGGTGAAGGAAATAAGAAGTATAAATTGGTAGTTACAAAATAGGCACAGAGATGTAAAGTACAGCATAGGGAATACAATCAATAATATTATGATAACAATGTATGATGTCAGAGGGGTACTAGATTTATCAGGAGGAATCACTTTGTAAGTTATATAAATGTCTAATCGCTATGCTGTACACCTGAAACTAATATAATATTGAACATCAACTGTAACTGAAAAAAAATAAAAATTTTAAAAATATATAAGGAAAAATAGAGATGATGGTGACTTGGACAGCGCAGCTGCAGTGGAAGGGGAAAGCAAACATTTGAATGTATTTTGAAGTTAGAGTCAAGGGATTTTCTGATATTTTGATTGGGAGTGTGAGAGAAAGAGATAAAAAGAGGCTAAAGGTAGAGAGTATTATCTGTCTTTAAATAAATACCAGTGATACTTAAATTTGTATATACAATTAAAATCTTGTATTTCTGACATATTTTAAGATATGATCTCATGCCGGGTTATAAAACAATCAATAAGAAACATCTTTTTATACCTTTTGTGTTTTATTATCAAAACAATGCATATACATTATAAAAATTTAGAATACATGGGAAAACAATCAGGTAAAAATTAAAAGCTATAATCCCACCACACAGACATGAACACTGTCTGCCATTTATGAAAGAAAAAAAGTGTATGTGTACGTAATTTCTAAATGAAATCATAATGTCCTTGGTATTATAATTTCTTCTTTTTTTTTCAAATAAAGATATATTATGAACATCATTCCATGCCAAAGTTTCCTTTTATTATATGACTTTTAATGGCTATAAATACATTATGGAAATTTAGGTTGTCTACATTTTTCAAATTATAAACATGACAATAAATGATATTATTTACCTTAAAAGCAAAAAAATAAATAAAATAAACATGTCACAGGGATTTTCTAAAGAAAATCCTAATTAAGAGTCTTGAACTTTTCCAGAATAAATATACTATAGATCACTCTTATGTCAGCATTTACAAAATAACATTTCATCTTCTTAGCACTCTATGTGTGTGGGGGAGGGACTAGAAAAGCTACAGTACCACATTTTAAATACACTTAATATTTGGGTCTAGCATGAAACAGTTTACAAAGATAGTGACAAAAGAACATATTTGTTTATAGACAAAATAAATATGCATACCTCTTTAATTTCAAACTTTAGTAGAAGATTAATGAGCTCCTCATTTGGGGCCTCTGCAACTTTTTTTTGTTCTGATCCTTTCATAATTTTACCAGTCTCTGTGTCTCCACTTTCAGCATCAAAATACTCATCATCAGAATCTAAAGGAAGAAGACATTCATTGGACTTGAGAGAATGTCCATTGAAAGCTGCATAAAACACTCAAATTTAAATCTCTCAAAAGTAAAATTCACTTATTACATATAATATTCATAGTCAAAATCAGAATATAGTCTCAATGTTTTTCTAAGTCCCACAAAGTGACTCAACCTGGCAAGTGATAAGCATAAATAAAATCAAACTATCCTATTTTTTTTTCTTTAATAGTTCTGTTTTTCACTTTAGTTAATTCATTCAACATTCAATAAAATATTTACTGGATATCATCTATCACGTATCAGTCTGTACCAGCCACTAAGGACACCAGAGTGACAAGGAAAGACATGATCCTTGTCCTTATGAAGCTTATATCCTAGTTCCAAGTTAAATGAGTTCAGTTGGCCAGAGTTCGCGAAAAGGATCAGGTAACAATTGGGGCAAAAAGTATAGCTTATTTAAAATCTTAAGCACTGTCATACACAAAAATCCTTTCAATCAAATGATCAAATGAAGAAACTTTGGATTAAAAAACAGTGACTCACAGTCACACTGTTGGTTAGTAGCACAACTAGAACTGAAACCAATAAATTACTACAACACTTCCAAAATGTGTTTATTTTCTGAAAATTTTATCTCTACATACTAGTGTATAGGCTTGGTTTAACGAAGAACATATTACTTTCCTTACCTGATTCCACTCCATCTAGCAACAGTGATGTCCCAAGTAGGTCTTTTGTCCTATCTGAAATAACAGGAATTGAGGATACCTAGCAAATAATACAAAAAATCTTTTTAACATACTAAGCAGAATTAAAGGTACATGAGACAAATATTGAAAAAGTAATAGAGGATAGAGAGAGATGGAAAAACACACACACACAATACAAAACTCTTCTATCAAAGTATATTATTCAATCAACTAAATAATAGTTTGTTGGAGTTTACTAATTATTGAGACGACCACCTGCAGTTATAAGTGTACAGCTATGTACAACTCGAGTAGATAATCCTATTTATCATTTTGTGTCATTTAGTAGCTATCCATTACAATATTAACTGTGAATTTTTATTACAGGTTCCTGGAAAATGGTATAAGCACTAGTTGGCTCTCTCAAATCTCATTTCAAAGTAAGTCAAAATCCAACATTTATTTTAGGTTGTAGCAATCAATTACAATTTAGTGATCTAGAACTTTTAAGTCTAACATATGTATATAAGTAAATTTTACAGCAATCATTTTATTTTGCAACATTTTAAAGACTTCTATATCTAGTTTTATTTAAAACACAGTTTTGAAAGTCATTTTTTCTTTCATTTATGTATTTTTGTTCCCTATACACCCTAAAACTGATTTTCTACCACCACTCTGAAATAGTAGTGAAAATATGCTACAATCTTTATTTGTTCAATGCATATGCAGTTTTGTGTAGAATCAACATTAAGCCCCAAAAGTATATCAAAAAAATGAAATTGGCCCTTAAAAATATTGAAAAATAAAATAGCACATGGAAAAGTGAAAAAAAGCTCACCAAAAATACAGATGTAAAGATATTTAGCACTTTTATTACTATAACCATTTACCTGTCTCTCAGGAGACTGTACAGATGATTTCTGTGGCAACGGTATACTGTTAATCAAACATAATATATCTTTCATCTTCTGATCAGAAATTCTCACATGCATCAAAGGAAGCCCTCCTGATACCTTAAATCTAAAAATACAATTGAACAGTAAGGTTTTAAGGTCCAGCTTCTCTATATTATGGGGGGGAGGGCGAATTGGAGAAGAGACTACGTTGTGGGGTCGAAGTTACTTTGGACATGTTTTAACCTAATGACATTAATGCCTCGTTTAGTCTGTCAGGAAATGGGAAGTTCTATGTAAGCCAAATTTCCAGATAATTTAAATGCATCCTTCTTAAGCAGCCAACCCTTCTTAATTTAACTAATTATGAAAATATTTTCAAACACAACTGTCTATATTTTAATACCAAAAACACTGTACATGCTTTAACTTTCCCAGCATCAAAGATTTCTCATTATAAACATCAAAGAGTATCTTCGTCAGCACTTTCTATCCCCTCGCTTTGCTTTATTTCTTCTCATAGCACTTGTCAGCACTTGACATATCATATGTATTACAGACTTGTTTATTTTATGTCTCCCCTGATTAAAATATAAACTCCATGAGGACATCTGTTTGACTAACTGCTGAATCACTGTTGTGCTTTCATCAATTGCTTACTTTTCAGCAGCTGCATCTATTCTGAATGTAACTGCCTAGATTGTTTGTCTCAATAGCTTTGTGGCAGCAATTTGCTGCTCATAAAGCTCTTTAAATTTCTTGTTTATCTTTGACTTCCCAACTAAGTTGTGAACAGCTGAAGCCGACAGATGCCTAACCAATAAACAAAGAATTATTTTTCTGTATAATGGTCAAACCACTAATGTTCAAAAGAGGCCAGCTGACTGCTCCTCAAAAGACTGAACTTTCTGCAAAAGTACTCTGTAAGTTGAAAAGCACCATAAAAATATAAGATGCTTCTTTATTATTTCTGAAATATTACATAAAATTAAAAGTATCAAAAATAGAGGGACTGGATTAACCTTCCCACTAAATAACTAAAAAAATGGACAAAATATTTCAAACAATGATTTCAAAGACAATGGACATCAGTCAACAAAGGACAGTTGAAATATGGGAAACAAATGAGGAAACTCCTAAAAATACTCCAGCTTACTAACTGAAGAATTTCAAAAGGTGTGGGATATTGTAAAGCAATATTTCAAGGAAAATTTACAGCATTAAATGCCTATATTAGAAAATAAGAAAGATCTCAAATCAATTAATGGTCTCAGCTTCTACTTTAAAAAACTAGAAAAGTACAGCAAATGAAACCCAAAGTAAGAAAAAAAAAAAAAAAAGGAAGTAAGAAACATGAAAGCGGGGCCGGCCAAGTGGCTCAGTTGGCTAAGAGTTGGCTTAAGAGCGCGAGCTCTGAGCAACAGGGTCGCTGGTTCGATTCCCACATGGGTCAGTGACACTGCACCAGAGCTGAGCTGTCGCTGAGCTGCCAACAGGTGGCAGGATGGCTCAGCTGGTGTAACAAGAATATTCCTGTTCGATGGTGGGCTGCTGTAAGCTACTGTGAGCAGCCGGCAGCCAGCATGAGCTGCCGTGAGCCTCTGTGAGAGGCCATCTAATGGCCGCGAACCGATCTGCCTCAGCCGGGAAGAGCACAATGATAATACCAACATGGGCCAGTGAAGCGACATCCTCCACAACTAGACTGAAGAACAAAAGGACAGCAACTTGTCTGTTCCCCTTCCCCATTCTGCAACGCTTTTCCCTCCCCCAATTCCCCAATAAAATCTTTAAAAAAAAAATAAAAAAAGTGATGCGAAAATATGAACAATTTTATGACAATAAACTCAACAACTAAGAGAAGATGAACAAATTCCTTCTTTGAAGGACAAATTACAAAAGATCACACACACACACCCCAAAAAAGGATAATCTGAATAACCCTATTTCTATTACATTGAATTTTTAGGTAAAACCCTTTCAGAAAAAGAAAACTCCAGATCCAGATGGCTTCACTGGAAGAAATAATATCAAGTCTACACAACGCTTCCAGAAAATTCATTCCATGAGGCTAATATTACTGATACACTGATCACCAAAACAACTAAATAAAAGTAGAGACCACTATTTCTAATAGGATGTAAATTTCATTAACAAAATTTTAGCAAACCAAATCCAAATCCAACAATATTTTAAAATAATAATATGTCACTACCAAATGAGGTTTATCCAGTAATGCGAGATTGGTTTAACATCCATCTGATAAAGAGTATCAGTGAAGCACTGATACATACAACATGAATAAATTTCAAACGAATTATGCTAAATGAAAGAAGCCAAACAAAAGAACTGAAACTGTATGATTCTATTTATAGAAAATTCTAGCAAATTTTAACAAATCTATAGTGTCAGAAAGCAGATCAATGTTGTCCAGGGATTAAAGGGAGAGGAGTTAGCAGGCAGGAAAAGGAAGAAGGGGATACAAGGGGCACAAGGACTTAGGGGGATGATGGATATGTTTATTATCTTGACTGTGGTGATGGTTCACAGATTCATAAATAAGTCAAAACTTATCAATTTGTACATTTTAAGTAGAGGTACCTTACTGAATGTCAATAATTCTTCAATAAGTCTGTTTTTAAGAAGGCAGCATAAACATTTCATAATTATCCACTTAACTTCAAAACTCAGTTTCTACTCTTCATTCCCTTGAATTATTCTTAAGATTTGATATGGTTTCAAAATCAAAAGGACCTCTAATTTTTTAATATCTTATTTAATCGATATTAAACCTTGGATTTGAACCATTTAGAAACAGAGATAACCAACTTTTACATAATGTAAAAGTCCAAATACTTCTGAAATAGGAGACGTGATATGTAATTCAAATAAATATTTTCTTAAAAATATATTTCTGCTATAAAATAATCATTATTTTTTCTGTCCTTCAAAAATCTAGCTTTGCTTTCTTAAAATCCAGTGACTGATACAAATACATTTCACCTTGTTTATTTTATAATATAAAGAAAATTCATACATTACCTGGCCATTCTAATGTCTTTTTCTACCATTGCTTTGGCCAACTCAACATGAATATCCATAGGCTGCAAAATATGCATAGTTGATGGATGCTGAAATCGACATTTTTTCCAGTTTTCCTCTTTAAAAAAATTTTAAAAATTAAATTACTATTTTTATTAAATATTTTTAAATCACCAGATATTCTGTGGAGAACTACTCTAACTTATTAGAAAATAGTTAATAAACATAGTCAATGAATACCATCTTTTACTTCTTTCAGCGTACAAGTTAAATAACCTTTTTTTTTTTAAATATAGACTGACAGGACTCAAAGACTGTGATACAAAAGTAATTCAAAATACTTATTTGGAGAATGTTTATATAACATCTTGCATCTTAAAGAAAACAGGAAATACTCAGGAATTTCTTGCCTTGATTACAGAATCAGAAATCAGGGTGGGTTGTTGCAGTAAAAAGGAGAGGAAAAACAAAATAGACATAGAAAAAAGAGGTTTCTGGGGTTCCTAAGTGCAATTACGTTAGTTCAGCACACAGAGTTTTATAATGCAAGATTTTATGACAAAAAAGTGTAATAATTACTTTCCTTCAAATAAGAAGGTCCACAAAACAGACTTTTCAATGACTAACAGAACCACACAGATCTTAACTTATGGCAATGACTGAACATCTTTTATCACTTATAATTCAAGCAATTATTATGAACTGCATACAACAGAAAAGGCCTATATAATGGAATTAATAGGCTCCATATATATAATCTAAGTAAAGCATTATATATTTACATTAATAAATCTCATCATTCCTGCAAGAGTATACATTCTATACACAGAGATTGTCTTTTCCTCCAATGACCTACTACAAAGTGATATACTCAAGAATACTTATCAAATACCGCTTCTAGAAACTAAAGAAGTATAGCGAACCAGCAATCTTTACTTAAGCAGTAGAAAACACCAAAGCTTTTGGAAAATAATTAAATTAACGACCTTTAAGGTTTTAAGATTATAGCCATACTTCTCAGATATCTACAAAAGTAGAAGACGTAATAAATACTGAAATAAAGACTAGGCTAACTAGCAAAATATTTAAAAATAAAGGCAGCAAAGGAAAACAACACTGGGACAGAGGAACTTAATCCAACTGCAACCTCTATTTTGTGTTCTGGCAGTTTCACAGTCACATTACAAAAAATTAGGCAATCACTGGACTTAGATTAAAATGGTGCTAAGTACCTTAAGATGAACAGACAAAGTTTCAATCTCTATTTTTAATTGTGACAAGGATTTATACTGATGGGCTCTTGTTTGCTTTTCTTAAGAGACCAACAGGGTATGTGTTCAAAATGTCATCAGCATTGATACACATGCACACATACACACAGCTACTCAACCTAATTTCAAGATCCTAAAAACTGAGCAATATATTACCTGCTCTTGCAAAGAGTAATTGCACACTTTTTATTTCAACATCAAACTTGTCATATGCCTTATCCATTATTTCCTCCAGAGATGAATTATTAGTCTTCTGCAAACCTTGATCTTTACTGTTAATCTAAAATGGAGAAAAAACTTCAATTTTTTTTTAACAGAAAAGAACATATATCAACACATTTCAGTTTTCTCAAAACCTAGGTAACTAAAATGAAAACACTACCATTAATGAATTCACATTTTGCTCAATTTTCTGGTATTTGCAAATATTTTATTAGGAATATAATATCTTAGCATACATCTCTATTATGTTTGGGTAATACGTTGTTCAGCATATCTATGTTAACTAGGAGAGCAGTTACATAGCCATTTATCTCAAATAACCTATCTAGACATGCAATTCTTCCTGGCTCTCAGGAGTTATCACCACTTATGGCTCAGCTCCCCTACTACCTATCCTAAAGTCTTCACCATGAAACAGCAGGTTTTATTCCTTCTTCTCCCCGCTGCATCACCAGAATAATTAGTCCATTAGAATTCATCTCCAATCTCTACTTCCTTTTCTCTCTTCCCAAAGAAAGCAAAGATCAATTCAGGACTACATTTTTTTAAATCTTTACTTTTACTCAGAGGCTTGGATTTCTAAAAGGTTCAACACCCAAAACCTTAGAGTTCTCTTATTACACTCAGTTGCTAACAGTGGTTTAACAAACATATATCCATATGTGTATCATTTCCGATTTTCAAAGTATGTAAATTAACAAATAACACTATGTAATTAAATTCTGGAAACCTATGAGTGCATGAAAATTAGAGGAGTGCTTCTCTCCAATTAGGAAAAGATAGCAGTAATCCAGCATTCAACATCAAATCATCTACCATTATAAAATATTTTAGGGCTTTTTTGCTTTTTTAATAGTCATAAAATATATATAAAATATTCAATCTAAGCTAGGTTTGACAAAATGCTAAGAAAAAATAAGTCTAGGTTTAAATGAATTTTGAGGGGAAAAAGCAAACTATCACACAGCTAGCTACCAAGCTGAGTAAAAAAGGGCAGACAGAAATACCTAAATACCTACCTGAATTGTACCAAAATCCAAAATGAGAAGATCTGACTTTTTGTGATGGAAACCTGTCTGTGGAACTATTAGATAAGAAGGCTTCAGATTTATCTTTAAATCAAGGACTTTTCGAGTTTCAATAATATGTGTAAGCCCTAAAAGAAGAAAAATAATGAAAATCAGAGAACCAAGCTGAAATACATAATCACATTATTAACAACAAGAATATCACTTAAAAGGTATTATAAAGGAATGTGAGCTCTTCTCACAGATTACATTTCCAATTCAGCATGTAAGGGAAATTGCATATGGTCAATGGGAAACAATCACTCATATCCTTGCACAGTACAGTAAACCCAACATAGCTAGTACTTTATCCAGAGACAGAATAATTCATTATTTTAGTTAAGCAACCAGATAAAGAAGGTGGCTTCAGTTCAGAAGTCATGTTGTGCAAAAGTATATATCTTATGTATCACATAGTATGGCCAACAGTTTAAGAACTAAGACAGAGGAATGTCTTCCATCTCAAGCTCACTCTGAGGCACAGGTTCTTAAAAGTCAGGGCAGACAGAATCCACTATGCTCCATATTATTTTCTCTCTCATCTAGTCTAGCAGGTATATTTGACTTTGGGTAAGCCATGTACACGCAATACAGCTCTACTGTATAATATAGCCTGAATTTCAAACAAAGAAAAACAGCAACCTATGCTATTTTAAATACAGTATTTACATTGGAATAGATAAAATTTTGATAGTCTGGTTGATGCATAGGCCGATAGGCCAATTCTTTACCTGTGGCTGTCTTCTCTTTAATTTCCTCCAGCTTCATCAATGTAGCTGATGTAATTTGCTCAAGATCTAATCTTTTATTTGACTGAAAAAATTCAACCACTGCATTAATGGTTTTCTGTAAAATAATTTAAAACATACGCAAGTTATACACAGCATTTTCTATATTATAAATTTTAAACTTTCATCTTAATTCTAAACAACTGGACTTTGAACTAAGGGGGTACCTCAAAAGATATTCTACCCTACTGCATCTCCCTCCAGAATGAGAGAGAATCTGAAAAAAGGAACAGCCCAAGCAAGCTCACTGGAGAGGCAACAAATGTGTGCATATCATTAAAGTAACCTTAAGTGTGTTCTATGGTAGCTATGGATATTATTTCTAGTTTTAGCCTCTAATTAGACAGAAGGTGAAACTCCGCTTCTTTATACTGAACTGACTCTGGGTGGTGAACACACAATGTGCTATATAGCTGATGTATTATAAAATTGTACACCTGAAACCTATGTAACTTTACTAACAATTGTCACCCAATATACTTTAAAAAGAAGAGAGAGAGAAATAGAATTCCCCTACACTTTGAAGCTTAGAGAGGAAATCAGAAAGCTGTAGAGCCCTTACTTATATCTAAAACTCAAAGTTAAAAAATCAGACATTTTGCAAACTGGAATAAGTTCTGGAGACTGGCTATACAACAAACAATGTGCATGTACTTAACACTACTCAACTACACACTTAAAAATGTCTAAGATGGTAGGGCCGGCCGAGTGGCGCAATGGTTAAGAACTGGCTTGGGACGCCAGAGGGCCCCGGTTAGGATCCCACATGAGGGCCAGTGACACTGCCCTCTACAGTTCAGATGCTGAACAACAGCTCAACCTGGAGCTGGGCTGCCAGCTGCCATGAGTCGTATGCCAGCAACGGCGTAGGCTGCAGCCCCTGTGGCAGTGGGTTGCCATGGGCTACCATGTGTAGCCAGCAGCCAGCATGAGCGGCCAGCAGCTGCAGTGAGCGGCCGTCCAGAAGCCAGCGATGATCTGCCTTGCCCGGGAAGAGCGCAATGATGGTGCCAACTTGGGCCAGTGAAGCAACGTCCTCCACAACTAGACTGAAGAACAAAACGACAGCAACTTGTCTGTTCCCCTTCCCCCAATTCCCCAGCACTGTTCCCATCCCCCCAATTCCCCAATAAAAATCTTTTAAAAAAAAATGTCTAAGATAGTAAAGTACATGTGTTTTACTACAATTAAAAAAAAATGTTTTTAGGGCTAGCCGCGTGCCACAATGTTTAAAAGTTGGTTTGGGACACCAGCTCTGAGTAGCAGGGGCCCGGTTCGGATCCCACATGAGGGCCACTGACACTGCGCCCTCTACAGCTAAGATGTTGAACAGTAGCTCAACCTGGAGCTGGGCTGCCTTGAGTCGCCGGCGACGGCATAGGCTGCAGCCCCTGCTGCAGTGGGCTGCTGTGAGCTGGCTGACAGCCAGCATGGGCGGCTGCCAGACAGCATGAGCTGCCGTGAGCCACCATGAGCGGCCATCCAATGGCCAGCAAGCGACTACCTCACTTGGGAAGAGCGCAATGATAATATCAACATGGGCTAGTGAAGCGACGTCCTCCACAACTAGACTGAAGAACAAAAGGACAGCAACTTGTCTGTCCCCCTCCCCCCAACTCCCCAATAAAAATCTTTAAAAAAAAAAAAAAGTTTTTAAATCAGAGAACACAGTGAGCTCTGAAGTCTTTATATAATGCCTTCCACCACCACCATGAATCCACTTCTAAACTATAAAGTAAAAATAAGTCAGGGATCTCAACAGGATGGAGCCAACCTACAAGTGATGCAATGAGTAGTGAACCATGCCCGTCCCCTAGTCTATCATGAGATGAGGTAAGAGTCTGAATAACAGTTCGCCTGCTATAGATACAGAACTTGAGCCATCACTTTCAATAACATCTAAACGCCAATTTTTTTTTCTCACATGAACAATATTTAAAATTCTTTCAATTACTTCTAAAGCTCTCCGAGTTGAATCCAAACATTAAGGAGAAAGGGAGAATAAGCAAAAGTGAACTAGAGTAGAAGTCAGTGTGTAATGACTGGGAGTGGTTGGTACAATAAACACACAATTTTTTAACTGTATTATCATATTTTTTTAAATTTGACATAAGCATAAATAAATACACCTTACAGTAGAAAAAAATCTGTAGCACATAAAAATATCAAATTTAACTGCTAAACATGTACTGCTTTTAAAACAAGAAATTTGTGTTAGCAAACTTACCTGCTAAGTAAATAAAGATTAAATATGAAAGAGAAAAAATAAGAAAGCCATATATCAGACGTACAAGATGGGTTTAATAAAGATTCACTTTCTCTTTGCACTTACAGCATCATAGATGACCTCCACAGGTTGAGACTGAACAACCAGAGTCTGGTCAGCAGTACTATTCTCTGGATTGGTTTCAAATTCAATTTTAAGCAAGGATGATGCAGTATCACCAATAGAAGCCACAAGTGATGGTACAGTATTCTGCTGTCTCAGACCTGTTATATACCAGTGTTCTAATTTTGCTTCAACCCTACAATCCAGTGAGGAAAAAAGAAGTGATATAAATAAGATCCTTTGTAATATAATGGCTTAAAATACAAATTTTTCTTACCAAAAACAAAACAAAACAAAAAACTCCAGAGATCCAGGACCATGCTCATTATCCAGAGCTGAACTCCAAACTCCTTAGCCTAGCATTCAATTACCTACATAGTCTAGGGTTTTTCGGGTTGTCTTTGTTTTGGTTTGGTTATTCTCCTCATCCACATGAAAAACCAACTTTAGTCAACTCCAGAACACTGCAGAAGTTCTGATGACTAAGGCATGAATGAATGCGATAGTTAACTCACGGAACTCATACCCCTATTTCATACCACCCTGAACACTCCCCGGCCTCATTCCTGCTTCTCCTAGTCCTTTCCATTCAGCTAGCCAATGCCCCAGTTCTCCCAGACCAAGTTTTTCTCTTCCACAACTGAGCTTGTGTAGCATTAATGTAAAGTATTTAATTTCACAGCACCTTCTCATTTATGAGCTTTCTAATATGTTAAACAGTCTTAAATTATTAACTTTTTGAGTATCCTCTCTTAACTACATCGTAAACTTCTTAAAAAAGAAACTTACTAACATAGAGCCTTCACAGTATCAAATCTATAAATTAAATAAATGTTTATAAAAGACAGAAGAAAGGGTAAAACTAATGATGAGCTCCTCATTACTCCATTACAAAACAAACTGAAATATAAAATGACTACCCTGACACATACACAAAAAAATAAACTAAGAACTATTATTAGTCAGCTTTTTTTAATGCTAAATAACATTACATTTGGGGGGCCTAAAGTCATTCAAAGAAATAAAAAGTAAAATAAGTTTTTTAAAACTTACCTAAGTGCTTGTGCTCCTGGTCGCTGAGATACTTGGGTGCCCAAGCCAATTATCTGAATTTTTAGTATTTCTGGAATATTTTTGTTTTCTCTTATTGTAACAGAGGTGCTTACTAACTTCAGTGTCATTATATGAGCAACATACTAAACAAAAGAATAAATGAAAATTGTTAAATTTTAAATAATTAGTTTCTTTAATAAATTTTTCTTATTTAGATTTGTTGAATTATAGTGATCAAAAAAAAATATGGTAGGTTTTGTATCAATATGCTCACTGTAAAAAAAAAAAGGAAATTCAATACAAAACTGCTTGCTCAAATAGGATATTTACAAAATCTAAAATTCATTTCTCTTACTTTTAAATGTAATAAAAATGAAACTTGATAAATTCTTTATGGCATAAAGATTTAATTCAGCAGTTTTCACTAAAGCAAACTAATTCAGACCAATCCTTGGGCTCGAAAACTGGACAAAATATAATGAACATTTTCTTGGTGGCTTTGGAGAGTTAACAAAACACTGAGAAAAAAATCTTGACACAACAATTGATAGGTTAAGGTTAGAAGTAAAAGAGAGAACCAGGGAGCTGATTATCATCAAACCACACAGGAAGACAGCAAGAGAGGAAGCAAGAAAAAAAGTACCTAAAAAATAGTTGGAAAACAATTAACAAAATGGCAATAGTAAGTCCTTACCTATCAATAATTACTTTAAATGTAAATGAATTAAATTCTCCAATCAAAAGACACAGAATGACAGAATGGATTACAAAATATATGATACCCAAACAAACAATAAGCAAAAAGTAAATAAAAATAACAGGAGAGGCTATACTTATATCAGAAAATACAGACTTTAAATTACAAATGGTCCAAAGAGATAAAGAAGGTCATTATATAATAATAAAGGGGTCAATCCATCAAGAAGATGTAACAAATACTTATGCACCCATTGGAGCACCTAAATATATAAAAATAGAACTAAAAGGAGAAATAACAATATGATATTAGTTGGTGATTTTACTAGCCCACTGTCAACAACACATAGATCATTCAAACAGAGAATGAATAAGGAAACAATGGATTTGAACAATGTGATAGGCCAAAGGGATCTAACAGACATACAAAGAACATTCCACCCAAGTGCAGCAAAATAAACATTATTCTCAAGCCCACATGGAACACTGTTTAGAATATGTCACACATTATGCCATGAAACAAGTCTCAAAAAATTCAAGAAGATACAAATTATATCGAGCATGTGTTCCAACCACAATGGAATGAAACTAGAAATCAACAGGAGGAAATCTACAAAATTCACAAATAGCTAGAAATTAAACAACACACTCCCAAACAACCAATGAATCAAAGAAGAAATCAAAAGAAAAATAAAAAAATAATAAGACAAATGAAAATATAAATACCAAAATTTATGGGATAAAACAAAAGCAGTTCTAAGATGCAATTTATAGCGATAAGTGCCTATGTCAAGAAAAAAGAAAGATAGCAAACAAACAACCTAACTTTAGTTTTACTTCAAGGACCTAGAAAAAGAGAACAAACTAAGCCCAAAGTCAGAAGAAAAAAAGGAAATAAGAACAATCAGAACAGAAATAAATGAAATGGAAAATACGAAAACAGAAAAAAATTAACACAAGTTGAAACTTTGAAAAGATGAACAAAATTGGCAAACCTTTAGCTAGACTAACAAAAATAAAGAGGAAAAAAACACACATAAATAAAATTTAAAAATGAAAGAGGAGACATTACAACTGATACCAAAAGAGACTACTGTGAACAACCTATCCACCAAAAAATTTAACAACCTAGAAAACAAAATGGATAAATTCCCAAAAACATACACTCTACCAAGACTGAATCATGAAGATAAAGAAAACCTGAGCAGACCAGTAATGTGTAAGGAGATTCAATGAGTAATCAAAAACCTCACAACAAAGAAAAGCCCATGACCAGATGCATTCACTGATGAATTCTACCAAACATTTAACACTCCGTTGGGCGCAACTGATCTCACAGATTCGCCCCACACAAATTTTCAAATATCTAACAGTTAACTTAAGTATTGTGACTCATCGCTTCCGTATCTTCCCCCTCTACCGTAACCTATTGCCAGTCATGTTTGTGACTTAGTGCAGTAAAGATGTATTTCATAGCGGCATCTTAGTGTGTAATGAATCTGTGAGATCAGTTGCGCCTGATGGGGGGTTAAAGAAGTTATCCCAATCCTTCACACTCTTTCAAAAAATTCAATTGAAGGGAACATTCCCAAACTCATTTTACAAGAACAGCACTGACCTGATACCAAAGCCAGAAAAGGACACTACCAGAAATGAAAACTACAGGCCAATATCACTGATAAATACAGATGCAAAAATTCTCAGCAAAATACTAGCAAACCAAATTCAGCACATTAAAAGGATCATACAGGGCCGGCCGAGTGGCACGTTAGGTTAAGAGCTGGCTTGGGACACCAGAGGGCTCCGGTTCGGATGCCACATATGAGGACCAGTGACACTGCCTTCTACAGCTAAGATGCTGAACAATAGCTCAACAGGAGCTGGGCTGCTGTGAGTCGCCGGCGACGGCGTAGGCTGCAGCTACTGCTGCAGTGGGTTGCCATGGGCTACCATGTATAGCCAGCAGCTACTGTGTGTAGCCAGCAGCCAGGGTGAGCGGCCAGCAGCCGCCATGAGCGGCCGTCCAAAAGCCGGCGACTGGTCTGCCTCACCCGGGAAGAGCGCAATGATGGTGCCAACTTGGGCCAGTGAAGCAACGTCCTCCACAACTAGACTGAAGAAC